TCCTCATCCACCACCAGTGTGCAGCATCCACCTGGATGACGCGACGGCAGCCATTTATTGCCAGACCGCACACCACACACCAGCTGATTGGTGGAGAGGAGACAGCGATGAAGCCAAGTGAATATGGGGATGGTTAGGAGGCCATGATGGACAGAGGCCAGGATGCCGGGGTTAAACCCCTACTCTTTTCAAAGGACATGCTGGGATTTTTAACGACCACAGAGAGTCAGGACCTCGGTTTGACGTCTCATCCAAAAGTCAGCGCTCACTGACAGTATAGAGTCCCCGTCACTATGCTGGGGCATTAGGACTCACACAGACCGCAGGTTGAGCGCCCCCTGCTGGCCTCACTAACACCACCTCCGGCAGCAACCTAGCTTTCCCATGTGGTCTCTCATCCAGGTACTGACCGGGCGCAGCCCTGCTTAGCTTCAGTGGGTGACCATGTGAGAGTTGCAGAGAGCCAGCTGCCGGCCGAGCAACACCACTGACTCCCCTCCATCTTCAGCACGATACACAACCTGATCAAAACAGGAGTTAAAGACTGTCCAGAGTCTCAGGCCGCGTTTACACTAGTGCGTTTTAGTTTGAAAACAGCGTTTTAGATCAAAAACGATCCGCGTCCCCACCAGCGTTTCATCCAAGCATTTCTGAATATAAATCCGTCCACACTACGCCACCAAAACCGTATATCACGTGAGCATTCGCGCACTCTGGGCATGCGTGTTTTAGTATAAAGCATGTGTCTCGCTCTGCATTTGGTTATTGTTGGTCAACAAACGCCGGTTGAACAATGAACGCGATGGCGAAGAAAGCAGGAGAGGTATTTTTGTGGGCAGACGACGAGGTCGAGTTGTTACTAAACGTAACATGAATAACTGCACAATGCCACCTAAAACAGACAATAGTGCAAACAACGCTCCCATTTCTGTGCCTGTCTTGTTGTTTACAGTGAAGGCTGGTCTGCCGTCTTCCCTTAGCGTTAAAGCCGTGTGTTATAGTCATGTGATTGGGGCTTGACGAATAAGGGAAGGATACACAATGACACAAAAGCCCCAATCCGGTAGCGAATCTCGGCAGCCCCGCCTCCATTTTCAGATGTCTCCGGCCTCTCGGTAAACGGCCTCTCCAGCGTTTCCAAAACGTTCCGTTTTCGGCATTCGAGAAGTCAGGCGTAGTGTGGATAGATGGCGTAACCGTAGCAAACTTATGCTTTTAAAACAAAAACACATTAGTGTAAACAGGGCCTCAGACTGAAGGAGAACGTGTGTGTGTGTGTGTGTGTGTGTCAGCATCGAGTTGTGTTTATTTGTGTTTCCATTCTCTCAGACACTCAGCAGCTCTTATGCTTCTCGCTCTTCTCCACATTCTCAGCCACTCTCTGTTTGTCTTCACACTCAGAATAGACTTCACTGCAAACTCTTCACTTTCTCTGTGTGTGTGTGTGCTGTCCTGTTTGTGGTGAACATTTGACCTCCGGAAGCAGAAACCGCAGCTGTTTCTGGAGCTCAGAGTGGTCTGGACTGAACCCTGAACTCTGCTCTTCCCCAACACAGTGATGATGGTGAGGCCTGATCCAGCGTAACTCCTGACTCCACCGAGCCTCCATCAGTGCTCTCTAATGTCCGCTCTCGTGTTTGCAGATTATGTGTGCAGATTATGTATGTGAGGAATACCTGCTGTGGATTCACCGCAGAGGAAAACTACAGCAACCTATATTAATAAATACTCAGCAGCACAGGACGCCTGCTCACCAGGGCAAATACAGGAGTCTGTGCTAGTTTTTTCCAGCTGCTTACAAACAAAATCTTTTCCTGTCACACGATTTCTGTAACCTCTCGCTCAAAATGCAAAACTACACGGCAAACCTCCAACACCAGAAGCTGTTTCTCAGCCCTGAACTCAGTGTTCAATATGTGGAGGAGCAGTGCGAAGTGCGGTGGGAGAAGCTAAGGTGCTTGAGGGTAGCTCACTTTGAACCACAACCCAACGACTAATCTCAATCTAATTTTGATACCGACTACGCCACCTGGGATTCAAACCCAGGAAAAATATAAAAAGGTCCCACAGATTCGTCTCTTTTTACAGTTTAAAGGGTCACTAAACACCAGAACACATGTGTTGAGCTGTTGACAGTGGTATATGTGTCCCACACTGCTAAAAACACTATTAGGACACCTATATTTCACTAAAAAGTGTAAATTGGTTGTTTTTGCGTTATTTCAAGCAAATTCATACTTCCGGTTTGAACCGAATTTTTGAAGCTGCGTCACGGTCATGACATAATAGCGTGTATTCCAGCGTGCAGACTGGACGTCTGTGCCAGAGTGTGTCTTATTACGTCTTACAGTGTGCTGCATTAATGCATGAGTAAAGCTTGGTTCAAACCAATCAGTGCGCTCTATTGTGCAACTTCATTAATATTCATTACTGTCAGAGTGTAGATGGCAGAGACGCCACGTTGTGTTGGCAAAACAAGCGTGAAGTGTTGCTTTTATAGTTTGCTGCAGTGAAGTTTCGTTTTCATTTTCTCTCTGTGAGAGCTCAGCTGGATCATGTGTGGATTAACAGTGTACGCGACGCGCGACAACAATAACTTACGTGTTCAAGGAGGATTATTGTTTACCTGAGAGCTGTTCTCATCTGCAAACGCTGAGATCCGGATTCGCTTGTAGTATTCTCTTAATAAAGACGCGGCTCTAGTTGCTGGTGATTGTCCTGTCTCTACAGATTTGGTAAGTGAGCAACCAGTGCTCTTTGT